AAAGAGGAAGGGACTGGTGGCTGTCCTAGGACTAGTGGAAGCTGGGGCGTCTGAAAGTGCAGAGAGCCAAGGGCAGAGGCAATGTGAACAGAGCCAGCAGAGGAGCCAGCAAGAGAAAGTTGGGAATGTGGACACACCCTATGATGAGTATAAGGCAGCTGGGGAACAGACAGCCCAGTACATTTTGAGGATGAAGATTTTCTCTTTGCAGAGAAGCCTACACAGAGTAGCACAAGGGGCCAAGTGAAGGCCTGCAACGCTAGAGTGCTGTCTATATACCAAGTGAATTCCTCCGAGGGTTAATAAACAGGCTGTTAGGACAGGAGCATGAGTACAGCATGCTCTCTGTAGACTCTGTGCAAGATGCCATGGTTGAGGAGGAAGGAGGTGACAGGTTAGAGGGAGGCTTTAGTTTGGGGGCCTTCAGATTTAACCTCTTAATTAGCTACTCTGACCCCTTGTGGGCATGCCTGGGAATTACCTTTGTAGCTCTGTGTAGCTGAGATTTGTGTCTGGTGGGGACTGGCTGAGTGTTCTGAGAAATTACTGCTGGGTCTAGGGGAGACCTTCAGGGACCTGTAATCCGGCAGAGTCTAGCAGATCACAGATTAGCAGGCTTTCTGAGGTTGACTCCTGTCCTCATGCTGGATTCCTTAGTTGTAGTCCATGTTATAGTGTTTTTGGGAGTCCCAATTATTCTAAAAGCATCATTAAGATGCCACCCAGAACCAGCCCCAGCCCCAGCCCCTGCAGGAGTTAATTAACACAGTTAGCAGTGGAACATGGACAGTTCTGGAATACATCTATAACCACAGGAACAACTGCTGTTCTCAGGGCCATTTTTTTAAAACTGAAAGCGTGTTTGTCCTTGGTCCAGCTGTCCAGGGCAGCAAAGAGTTTATTCCTTGGGGACTGGTGAGCTCATCACCCTGCAGCACGCTGCCATGCAGAGGGCCCCGCAGCTAGCGTTCTGTGGTACGTGACACTGGCAGTTCCTCATTCTTCCACCCCAGATCCCCTGCCCTCATTCTGTTCTCTTTATAGCAACACTGTAGCTTCTGTCCGTAGCCTGGAAGGCCTGGGCATAGCTTGAGAACTATACTGGGAAGGAGTTGAGGCCTCCTGGGTTCTATTTTCATTCCTTTGCCTTGTCTGACCTTGGGTGATTCTCTTTCCTGGCCACAGATTTCTGGCCCCTGCTTCCTCATTTCACTCAAGGATACCATTTATTTGGAAGAGAAGTGGTTGGTAAATGTAGAATACATGGAAATTGCTCAAATCCTACCCATGTTAAGAGAATCTCATAAGTAAGACCAGATTTGAATAGAGGTCAAAATGAACCTATTTGTGAGAAAGTCTGGCTGGAGTGCAAATAGAATTCTAGTGAGCTTCCTCTGTTTGTTTTTTTTTTTTTTTTTTTTTTTTTACCCTGTGAGACTTTATTAATCTTAATCCTTACATAACTTCCTTACTTAAGTTACTACCTGAATTTGTTGAGTTCACTGTCAAACAGTGCTTACCGCACTTCCTGATGCATTGTATCCAGGGTTATTGTCCCCTTGTCAGTCTTGCTTCCTTCCTTTGGGGACTTATGGACTCCAGGGACATGAAGGTACCACATCCCATGCCTTCATGTTGTAGAAGAAGAAAACAAGGTTAGGAAAGATAAAAGTCTTACTCAAGAAAATATATAACCTGTTGTCACTTGGCCTTTCGCTAGCCCCGACTGTCTGAATGAGAAGGCAAGAGTGAAAGGGAGAAGGACCTGGGGCAGCAGGGAAGGGGCGGGCAGGGAGCCAGGAAGGCCGGGCGCTGGGCTTCACGATGAGCTAGCAGGGTGGTGGCGGGCTGGCTGCCTCCTGCCTGCCCATCTGGGAGGGGCAGCCTCAGTGATGGAGAGGAGTTATTCTTAGGAATACTGCAGTGCAGATGTGAGTGAGGGACAGGAGAGCGAGGAGATGTAAGACTGGAGGGGGAGCCAGGGAAGAGCGCAGAAGGGGAGGTGGGAAAGGCATGGAGGGGAGGAGACAAGGATTGAGTCCTGTGTCTGCAGAATATGTTCTCGTGGGTCTTCATTTTCTTGCTGTCTTCTTTGCTGCTTCCTAACCGCCTTTCTTATATTGAAGTTTCTCTCTTGGTGCAGTTCCCCTCCTTTCTCAGACTGAAAGAAGCCTTTCCAGAATGTGGCAAGAAGTGATAGGCTATATGAGTGGGGTCTGAGAAGTTCTGCTCTTCCAGACGACCTTGTAGGGTCTGGTGTTGCCCCCACCACTAGCCTTCCACGGACTCCCCCGTGTGAAAAGCCCAGCCCTGGGACAGAGACACTGCCTGTGGCTGAGAGTGTCTGTTAGCCTGCTTGTGGTTTTAGGCTCTGAGTTCTGCATTCCAGGAGATGAGGCCTCTGGTTCTCACTGGATTCACGAGGCACTTCTTCATGCTCCTGTTTCCCTTTCCCTTTGGGTTTAGATGCTTAGAGACCTGCTTTCCACTGCTTTATGCCTCCAGGCCAGCCCTGTCACCTCTCTCTGGCTCACTTAGTTGGGGTCTGGGTGGGCAGTTTCTGGAGCTGGTGGGATGGACTTTGAGCATCTCCTTCTGGCTCTTGAGCAACTCTGCTGATGCGGTGTGTGTCCTGCAGCTGCTTTTACAGGGTTAAATGGTACGGTACCACACGAGGCAGGGTCGCAGGCTAGAGGAGCTCTGTTCTGGTGCAGGCAGGAGGCGGGAGACCGGATCTATGCTGCTGAAGGTGGGAGACTGGGCCGGGTGGGCCTGGTGGTCTGGTGTGGGCAGGATGTGGGGGATGAGGCCAGCCAGACAGCCAGTTGTGCTGGGACCTGAGTGGGATGGGCACTGCGAAGGACCAGGGCAGCCACAGTTGCTCTTAAATATAGTTGCTGGTGCACGGCCCGGAGGTTCTGGGAAGGCAGCTGGGGAGCTCGGCACTGGCCAGGAGGCGAGGAGCCGCCCGACAGCTGCAGCTGGCCCACCAGACATTCCTGTCCACAGCTCCTCCCCATCTAGGGAACCAGACCCAGGGCTGAGGCCTGAGCCAGACAGGTGGGAACAGGGAGCCACAGGGGCAGGGAAGGACTCTGCACCTATGCCGTCTCCCTTCTTCCCCTGTCTGCCAGGTGGGAAGAGGAGTACACGGTGCGGATGCAGCTGCAGCAGCGGGTGAATGAGCTCCAGGAGGTGAGGGTGCCCCACTGCCTGTGCTTCTCTCAGTCCTCCATGTCGCCCCTCGGTCCCAGAGCCGGCTCCCTGTCCCTCCTTATCTTGACCTTCCTCCCACACTGGCAGTGCCACTAATGGCAGGGTTTTCTCGCTGGCTGTAGGAAGCCCAGGAGGCTGACGCCTGCCAAGAGGAGCTGGCGATGAAGGTGGAGCAGTTGAAAGCTGAGCTAGTCGTCTTCAAGGGGCTCATGAGCAATGTGAGTGCAGCCACCACACCCCTCGCACTCTTCCCCCTGTGGCTTATCCAGTGGGCTGCTTGCAACCAGGCAGAACAGGCCTTTCTAGTTGTGGCTTGTCGATTTCCTGTCCACTGCCCCTCCCCTCACTTTGCTGTGCTTCCGTTTTTTTCCCTTGCCACCCTTTAATTCAAGAGAAAAAGAAGGAACACAGGTCCCGGTGTTGTGTTGGACAGGCAGCATGGAGGTGCTTCAGCAGTCAGATAAGAACACAGATCCTGGCTCTGAGACTTGCTAGCATTGTGGCCTTGGGCAAATTCCTTAGCCGCTCTGCCTCCGTGTGTGTCCTCGTGTGGAGTGGGATGATGAGGCATGTGCTCTGCAGAATGATTATGAAAATTGTCATGTACTCAGGATGGTGCTCACACATACTGTTATTTTTATCACACTATCTCTACTCGGGTAAATCCAAGTAATCTCTCTTTACCTCTGGGAACATAAGTTCCAGGAGGGACCCCCGCATGTCCTAGGCACTGGGCCACACCCTCCAGGAGCTCCCTGTCTTCCCAGGGAGCCAGCTGCATGAGCAGCCCAGTGTACGAGCCACGCGCCGTGGGGAAGGCAGCCAGGAGCAGGACACATCGTGGGGGATGAGAAGTGGCGCGTGCCAGGAAGGATGAGGAGGACCTTGTCAGGGCCTGTGGGCCCCTGTGTGGCATGCGGGGTGCCTCCTCACTGTTCTGGTGTCGCCCGGACAGAACCTGACAGAGCTAGACACGAAGATCCAGGAGAAGGCCATGAAGGTGGACATGGACATCTGCCGCCGCATCGACATCACGGCCAAACTCTGCGACGTGGCACAGCAGCGCAACTGTGAGGACGTGATCCAGATGTTCCAGGTGAGGCCAGGGGCAGGCCGCCCTGTGGCCCACTCCTCCTGGTGCCTCAGGGTAGGGTTGGGGCAGGCAGAGAACCTGACGCGCTGCTGGCCTGGAGCCAGGCTCTGTCCTTCTCAGGGGGACTCAACTTGGCAACTGGGGCCCTCAGTGGGACTAGCGGGGGGGCAAGGAACAGCCTCTGAAGAGGAGTTTTGAAGCTGCCTCTAACACCGTCTCTCCCCTCCCTCTCTCTGTCTGCTTCCTCTCCTCCTCTCTTCCTCTCATCTTCTCTTGCTTTCTCCACAGAAGAAACTGGTCAGTTTTGCTCTCACGCAAGCTTATTAATGTCCTGGTCCCAGTTTCTAAACTATCCAGGCCTCTGGCCGTTGGTTCTGACCTGCTGGGCTTCTCAGCACGATTTCTCCTCCCCTTTTTCGTGCCCCTGCTCTTTCCCCTCTTTTTCTTTCTCTTTTCCTCTCTGCTTCATTTCTTTCTGTCCCTTCTCCCTCTGGCTTTTCAGATCTGGATGTGTGACTCAGGTTTTCCTTTGTGAACACTGTATCCTCCCCTTTCTTGCAGCCTAAAACTTTCTTTTTTGTTCAGTCATTTCATTACAAAGACCTTTTTTAAAAAAAAAAAAAGAATTCTCGTGCACATCTTAATGTGGTCCCGACAGGCTATTTCTCCCCTTACCTCACTGCTCTGTTTTCTCTGTTTCTTCATTTTCTTCCCTCTCGGTCCGCAGCCTTGTCCCCATCTGTGTCTGTCTGTCTGCCTGTCCCTTGGTAACTCTGGTGTTTCTGTTCCTGTCATTGTAACTGTGTCTTCTCTCTCTGTCCACCCCACTC